CATTGTTCATAACACAGTCTTCCATTCACTTCATGATGATCCAACCATCCTTTGTTAGAGGGGTCACATGAAGACCTCTTCCATGTAAAGCCTTTCATGTCAGCAGCCAAAAGTATTTCATAGAAAGTTCAAACCTACATTTTTATGCATTCATCTGCTAGATTTGATTTGAATGTGTCCAAATTCTTCACACCATGTACCTTAAACATGTACAAATAAAGTATGGGTAAAAAGATATTTATATGACCAGAGATGCTCTTCCTGCTTTACTGTTCGCCCATAACAAATGGGACAGTTTTTGCTTTATTTATTTGACAGTGTAGCGATAGGTGCCCCGGCCGACAGTCATAATAAACTTGCCTAATAACATTGCACATATTTAATGTTTGACTAACTCAGTTAACTCCTGCTGCCATGTGGAGCTGTAAAAGGGATAGTCGGGCTCTTTTAAAATGGGGTTGTATTGGGTACTTATCCACCTTACTTATATGAAGTAGTTCATAGAGTCAATGTCAGTAAATGGATATATGATTGCCTTTCCACAGAAGCAGCCTTTCATATTTATGCATATTTTGTGAAAGGAAGAAACGAGGTTAAGTCTCTTGCCCAATACCCAGGGACGCCTCGAGAATGCCTTCTTCTTCTTTTGATTTTTTTACGGCGGTTGGCATCCATCTTATTGGTGCATTACCGCCACCTTGCTCCGGAGTGTGGATAGACTTACAATCTTTACCCCCAAAACAAATCAAAACAAACGAAATAATGACACAAATAAATTAAATAAAACAAAACAAATAAGCACTCTAACCAGTACCCTTGTACCTTATACCATTTCAATCATACCCTGTAAAAAACACTGTGTTCCTTAAAAAGGGTCACATGTCTGTTCCACGTCCAGTAATGATCCGACTGGACCCAAGTTCAACAACCATTAAAGTACTTTGTTAAAGTAGTACTAGTACTAAATGTATCTGTGCAGTACAAGTATGTGTTTAGTTTTACGTATGTATTCATATTTTATTCAGATTGTTTGATTAGTTAGGATATTTTGTATTAAATCCCTTTAGCACAAAAGTAATTAAAATACTTGAATACAGGAATAAGCAAAGTTCTTATGAAATGAGAAAAATCCTTTTGGACAGAATTTTGCTGAACAATTATAAAATAAATTAAAAGTCCTCATTTAGAAAATTAAACAATTATGAATAAGAACAATCTTTAGTTGTAAAAATAAGCAAAATCCTCAATTACATAATATTGTAAATTCATGAAATATAAAATAAGCAACATTTTAATGAAAAAGGAAATTTCGTTAATTACAAAATCAAGTGAAACGCTCAAGCAAAATCTTTATTAAATTTTTTTTAAAGTCAATTTACAAAGTACTAAAATGTGTTAAATTCTTATGAAATGAGCAAAATCCTTAATTATAAAAAATAAGCTAAATCCATAATGACAATGTTCCTATGAAATAAGCAAAATCCTTAACTATGAAAATTGTAAATACCTTGATTGCAACAGTAATGAAGTACAACAATAAGCAAAATTGTAATGAAATAACTAATATCCTTAATTACAAAACTAAGCAAAATGCATATGATTTAAGTAAAAATTATAGCATTCTTATGAAATATCTAAAATCCTTGATTATAAAAGACAAGCAAAACCCTTAATTACAAAATTAACCACAATGATTAATAACTACAACAATGAGCAAAATAGTAAAAATTTCTGAATCACAAATAAATGAGGTTTTAGGGGCTGATCCCAGCAGGACGTTGTTCCTATTTGTATTATTATGATTATCTTTTAGCTAAATGTTGTCCTGCTGCCAAAATGTGTCTCACTACAATAAAAGAGCCATGTGAACCACAAGGCAGCGCTAAAGTGAAGTCATGAAGTTCATTATATGTTTTAAAGGACAAACATCAACAGATTGTCAACGTTGAGTATCGTTATACAGAATGTAGAAGATATATGTTAATGCTTCATGTTTATTCTAATAAATCACACTAACATTGTTCCTGATAGTCTTTGGTTTCTAAGACGCCGGCTGCTTGGACTCTGGTAAACCTGAGGTGTTGGATCTGAACAAACACATGGACAGTCATCACATCACACGACATCATGAGTCCAACAGCTGCCATTGACCCTGAAATCTACAATCACTGACACGTATTACTCTTCATGTTTACTTCACATTCACTGTTTGAACCACAGATGTTATATAAGAAGTGGACGTACTCGTCGAACTCATTGGATTGTGGACCGTGGCCATCGCCATCTTGGTTTTTACAACCAGTGAAGAGGAAGTGACCATATTTGGACTGAGGAGGAGTGACGTAGAGATGCCGTATACGTCTCTGTTAGAGACCTGTCAATCACTGTGTAGCCCTGCCCTAAAGCATTCCCTGCTTTATGGTCTATTTGACTCTAAAAGGATCATAATTTACTAAATGAACATCATGCTGTATTGAAGAAGACTTGAAACTAGAGATTGAGACCATAAACTCATGTTTACAATGTTTACTGAGGTAATAAATCAAGAGAGAAGTAGAGTCATTTTCTCATAGACTTCTATACAACCAGAGGAGTCGCCCCCTGATGGACATTAGAGAGAATGCAGCCTTAACACATGAATCTTTGACTTCTATTTTCAGTAGCAGATGTTGCTGCCTGGGAACAATCGTGGTCGTGGATAAAAGAGACCAACATGATGGTAGAAACAGGAAGCAAAAAGTGACTTCAGTTAAAAACTGTTTCCATGAACTCGAGGGTCTAAAGACAGACGTTGTCACTTTTCATACAGAGTTTAAAGTCTTCAGCGGTAAATGTTCAGTTTTAGAGCCAGTCAGAACGAAGGTTTGTGTTTTTGTTACATTTGATCTGGTTACATGTTACAATGATGTCATCACCTACGTCCTGTTTTCATCACCAGAGCTTCTGGTCAGAGCTGGACCATGCTACGCTGTGATTGGCCAGTCAGCGCTAGAGGGGCGGGACTTAGTGAAGAGTCAATTGAAAACGTAATCGCTATCATTAACAACTGTTTCAACATTTGGTTTCCAGGATAACCCTGGTTCTCTGAGTGAGGTATCGGAGCACACCATCCTTCTTGCTTCTGATTGGTGGAGGAACTACACTTGAAAATGGAGAGTTGGGGGCTAAGGGGTGTTATGACTGATGTGGTGGCAGTAGAGCTTTGTGATTGGTCACGTCTGTCCTACAGTATATTGTTAGCTGTTGCCATTTATAGACTGTGTTTAGGTTTGGTTACGATATGACATGTGTAACACAATGACAGGAGTCACAGTGTCATTACAGAAACAACAACATGCATTGCATCAGCTGATGATCTTCAGTCAGTTTGGACCAATCATCTTCCCTAAACCTGCATGTAAACAGTCAGCTTACCTAGGACAGTGAGGGAGATCAGACGGCTCTCAGAGGAGAAGTTATGATTAAAAACATAGAGGTGATAAACACAGCTGTAGCTTCCTTGGTGGGCGGACTCTGCAGCAGGAAACAGGAAGTGGGCAGGGTGATTGACAGCTGGCTGGGTGTAGTTGTGTGCTGACTTGGAGGAGGTGAAGTTGAGCTGGAAGGAGCCTCCTGGGTACTGTGGCTGGATGGAGCAGCAGATGGTGAAGGTGGAGCGCCTGAGCACCTGAGCCCCCTGCTGCTGGGCCTCGGAGACCCCGTACATGGGGGAGGACACAATGATGATTGGCTGAAGCAGCAGGTCTGTAAACACAGAGAGATTATGAAAGTTCACATCTACCCTCCATTGAACAAGATGGACCCTGAATAAGGACGTGATGTCACAGGTCTGACAGACAGACAGACGGACAGGTGTGTTCTGCCAGCTGGAGCTCAGCAGTCTATAGAAGCTTCCAGAAACAAGCTCACCTCTACACTTCAGGATGTCATTGTCCTGGATAACTTTACAGTTCAGTCCAATGGAAACCCACTGACTGTCACTGTGACAGAGGAAGGAACATACTGGAAACATTGCTGTCAGAGATGATGTCATAGATGATGTCACTGATGGGCTTACCTGAGCAGGTGAGATCCAGGATGTAGGAAGAGGAATATGATGTTAAACACTCTCTCAGAGCAGATCCAGAGAGAAGACAGTGAGAGTAAATCCTCCACACAGATCTCTCTAAGGACTCCACTCTCTGTCCAATAGAAACAGCAGAGCCACAGTCCAGATCTCTACAGACAACAGCTGCTGTCTTCAGGTTCCAGTAAGAGTCATCTACTGGTCTCCAGTCTCCTTGATGTTTCACCTCCAGTATTCCTGCACAGCGACTGTCTCCTCCCACCAACCTGACAGGTTCTGAACAGAAACAAGAGAGTCGTCAGTAAAAAGAACAAAGTGAGTTTCAGTAGAACAGAAATGAACCAGATCAAAGCTGCAGCTCCTCTTCTACCTGAGCAGGTGAGTCCAACAGCTTTGCCAGGTGAGCAGGTGTTTCTATCTGAGCCTGAGCTTCTACAGTCCAGGAGAGCAGACTCATGGCCTCCACACTGGAACTCTTTGGTCCACATTGGAGCCTCCACTTCTCCAAAGAGCGCCCCCTGGAGGACTGAAGGTGCCCCACAGCCAAGCTCCCTACAGACCACCTTTGCATCCTGCTGGTCAAAGTCATCTTCACACACTGAGGACCACCACTGGTTAGACTGGTTAGACTTCACCTCCAGTCTGCCTGAGCACAGACTAGTCCCATTCAGCCTGACTGTCTGGAGAAATGATAGATGATAGAATTTGAAAGAGAGAGAGATAAAAGACACCAGACACTAAATAACATTCGGTCTTATTTTTCTTAGAATATCTGTGACCCAGAATATAAATCTGTTGATAAAATGATCCCTAAAATCCAAAAGAGATGGAGGGCTGGACTCTCTCCTTAAGGAGTGTCCAGGGTGAAGGGCGGTGCGGAGATACTGACGAGCCCCCGGCTGAGCTGAGCTGCTCAAAGTTGTGTCCAGTAGGTTAATTGGTTCCTGTTATGGTGGAAACCAAAGAACCTGCTGGTGGAAACCAGTGAATAAGAAAGCTGTGAAGCTGAAGGAGGAGTCCTTTCAGGCTGGTTGGTGGTTGGCCCAGAGGACTCCTGAAGCAGCAGACATGGAGGTTTCATATATAAAGATATCTTGGTGCATTCAGCACCTGATTTACTGAGGCAGCAGCTCATCAGACAAGTCTGCTGCCATTCTAGCTGGTTCATGTGTGTGTCAATCAGGATACACTACTGTCATAGATGATGCCACTGATGGGTTTACCTGAGCAGGTGAGATCCACGATGGAAAAGGAGTGTGATGTTAAACACTCTCTCAGATCAGATCCAGACAGAATACAGCGAGAGTTGATCCTCAACACAGATCTCTCTAAGGACTCCACTCTCCGTCTGATAGAAACAGCAGAGCCACAGTCCAGATCTCTACAGACAACAGATGCTTCCTTCAGGTTCCAGTCAGAGCCATCTACTGGTCTCCAGTCTCCTTCATGTTTCACCTCCAGTATTCCTGCACAGCGACTGACTCCTCCCATCAACCTGACAGATTCTGAACAGAAACAAGAGAGTCGTCAGTAAATAAATTAATTTAATTAATAAAATATCAAACTAAAACTTGACTGCTGATTCTGCTTCATTGGTTCTTTATTTCTCTTTTCTTTCTATATTTACCTGTTGATGTGTGATTTCCTTCAGCCTGGAGTCCTGGAGAAATACACACATATTTGTTGTTTTAAGTAAATATAATAGAAGTAGACATGTATTTGCAATTTTCACCAAAAAATGTATTTGGATGTTGTTACATTTATATTCAGACAGTGGAACCTGCTTTTAAAAACAAGACTGTGTTTTAGATCTCTCCATCTGTTTTAGCCAATCACAGAAGAGTAGATTAAAGGGTCATATTTTTTTGTGACAATATGAAAAAACAAGAAATGTATTATTTTTTTTAATTCAAATTATTATTTACAAGGGCTTCCTGGCAGAAAGCAAAGCATCCTGAGGGAGCATCTATAAAAAGAGAAATGTCCAAAGTTAAGAAGACAGCCACCATTACATACAATCACAACAAGCATTGTGTTGCTTGAGTATACTTCAGTGTGAGAACCTTTCAGACAGAAGCAGTTACTAGCTGAGAACTGCCGTTGAAGTTTCTCTGAGTACAGTTGTTTAGCATCTCTCAGCTCATGGCTGAACCTGTGCTTAGACTCTTTAAACCTGTCCTTGCTGGTAGAGTTCATGCAGTCAATAATTCATTACTTTAATTCATTATTTTTAGGAATAGGAATAATTTATTTTGAAACTTTTTCAACAACCTTGAAGGACGCGACAATACGACCTCACGCCATTGTCTTCAGTGTTTAGTGGAATTGCAATAAAATTGTTGTAGTGTGTGTGTGTGTGTGTGTGTGTGTGTGTGTGTGTGTGTACGTATGTGTGTGTGTATGTGTGTGTGTCTGTGTGTGTCTGTGTGTGTGTGTGTGTGTGTGTACGTGTGTGTGTGCATGTGTGTGTCTGTGTGTGTGTACGTGTGTGTGTGCATGTGTGTGTGCGTATGCGTGTATGTGCATGTGTGTGTATGTGTGTGTGTGTGTGTGTACGTGTGTATGTGCATGTGTGTGTCTGTGTGTGTGTGTGTACGTGTGTGTGTGCATGTGTGTGTGCATATGTGTGTATGTGCATGTGTGTGTATGTGCGTATGTGTGTGTACGTACGTGTGTGTGCGTGCGTATGTGTGTGTGTGTACGTATATGTGTGTGTGTGTGTACGTGTGTGTGCATGTGTGTGTGTGCGTATGTGTGTGCGTATGTGTGTATGTGCATGTGTGTGTGTGCGTATGTGTGTGTGTACGCATATGTGTGTGTGTGTGTGTGTGCGTATATGTGTGTGTGTTCTCTGATTTAAAGATACAACAGTAATATTGGAATAAAACACATCATCTCTAAATCAGAGTCCTACCTGAGCTCCACACCAACAGCAGCAGCATCAACAGGTGATCCATGGCATCCAGGTAGACCGTCTCTCTGCCCATCTGTCTCTCTCCCTTCTGTCTCTCTCCCGTCTGTGTGTCTGTGGGCTGTCCTCGGTGTATATCTGCGTATAGGAAGAGGTGGAGCTTTACTGATGGCTTATCTGTCTTTAGTTTTACAGAGAAGAGTCTCTGTCACATGATCAGCTTCTTCTGTCCACCATGTTTCCAGTGTGACCAGTGGATCAGACACTTCTTCACTCTGGTGTCTTGGTTCTCACTTTGGTCTGACACAAATTATGTTTAGTTATTGTCCTGTACAGCATGTGGGCTCATGGAAATAGTATAGAACCATGTAACCATAGATCTATAGAGCTAGAGAAATAGAAATATAGGAAAGAGTTAAATTGTCTTTATAGTTGCTTTAAATCTTCTGTGTTTTTTTGACTCTTATTATAATAGTTTTATATTTTCTTGTTGTCGTTTTACATGTTTGTGGTTTTCTTTAACTTTCATGGTTGTTTGAGTCTCTTTGTAGTTGCATTATGTCTCTTTGTAGTCATTTTGTTACAATAAGTCCTTTATAAAGCTGCAAGATGTTTTCAGCTGTCTGTCAACAGATCAATATCTCTGTGAGCACATCCAGCACCTTCCAGTGTGTTGCTATGGTGATCCATACATCATGTGTCGTCAGTTTGTTTCTCCTTCACTGAATAGTTTCTAGTGATTTATTAGTTGTGATGATTTAGTGAACTCCTGATTCAAACTGACTCTGTTGTTGCTCTTTGTCAAGTTTCTCCTGTGAGAACAGAGATGGAAGAAGTACTCACATCTTTTACTTCAGTAAAAGTACTAATACGACAGTGTAGAAATACTCTGTTACAGTAACAGCACTAATACGACAGTG